CTCACAGACACACTGACAGACACAAACAACACACACACTGACAGACACAAACAACACACACACACTCACAGACACACTCACACAGAAACAGATACACACACACACACTGACACAGACACACTGACACACACAACACTCACACACACACACTCACAGACACAGACACACACTCACAGACACACTGACACAGACACACACAGACACACACACTCACAGACATACACACATGCTCTCACATACACGCTCAGACACACAAACACACACTCTCACACACAACACACACACAGAAACACACACACACACACACAACAAACACACACGCTCACAGACACACACGCTCACACACACGCTCACTCACACACACACACTCACAGACACAAATACACACGCTCACACACACAACACACACACACTGACACACACACACACACACAGGGACACAGAAACACACAGACACACTCACATACAAACACACTCACACAGACACAAGCACACGCTCACACACTCACAAACACATACACAGACAGACATACACACTCACAGACACACATACACTCACAAAAACAGACACACATACTCACAGACACACTCACACAAACTCACTCACACACACACATGCTCACACACACTGACAGACACACACACTCTCTCATACACACACACTCAGAGACACACAAAAACGCTCTCACACACACACACTGACAGACACACACGCTCACACAGTCACGCTCACAGACACACATACACGCTCACACACACACACCACACACACACACTCACATGCACGCTCACTCACACACACACGACACACACACCACACACTCACAAACACACACGCTCACACACTCACAGACACACACACACAGACACAAGCACACGCTCACACACACACTCACAAACACAGGCACACACACTCACACAGACACATACACACACTCACAGACACACACACACTGACACAGACACACACAACACTCATACAAACACACTCACAGACACAAAAACACACATACACTCACATACACAGACACACATACTCACACACACGCTCACACAAACAGTCACGCTCACAGACACACATACACGCTCACACACACACACCACACACACACACTCACATGCACGCTCACTCACACACACACACTCTCACACACACAACACACATACACACCACACACTCACACACACACACGCTCACACAGACACACTCACAGACACACACTGTCATGAACTGGCTCAAAGCCATGACAAAAATGAGGAGACATACGGTTTTTAAAGTAAAAACGAAATGATTTTATTACAAACAATATAAAATTAGGAAATTGGCAATATAATCAAATACTACTTGAACTAACAAATAAACTAACTAAACGAAAACATAATGCACCGAGGGATCGCGGGCGCAGTGGTGCAGCCGCGCCAGGTAGGTCACAACACAGAGCAGGGCAGCCCCCCCGTGTGAGGAGTAGTGCCAGCTCTTATACACCTGTGGACTGGCCAGGTCCACCCAGGTGTGGCAAGCCCCACCTATGACCTGCAGGGAAAGACAAGACAACACAACACAAGAGAGGGAACATAGAACACAACAGCAGGCCCTAACGGCAGGAGGCCGTCACACACACACACACACACACTCACAGACACACT